GGCTGAGCCACTGAACCTGGCCGGTAAATTCTTCTAGCTCTTAAGTTCACACCCTTCTCCTATTAAACACTGGATCTGATCCCTTTAGAAGTTTGCTCTGGCGACTGCCCCTTGTCTTATCTATAGCACCCATTTTTCTCTCTCTATAGAACATTCAGGTTCACACATAAACATACAGACCCCTCCTATCTTTTTGTTTAAGTTTTAAAATGTATAGCCGGGCTGGTGGCTCAGCCTGTAATTCCGTGCTTTGGGAGCCTGAGGTGAGTGAATTGCCTGAGCCCGTGGGTTCGAGACTCGCCTGGGCAACTTGGTGAGACCTCATCCTATAATAAATCAAAAAAATTAGCCAGGCGTGGTGGCGCATGCCTGTAGTTCCAGCTACTTGGAAGGCTGAGGCGGAAGGATCGCCGGAGCCCAGCAGGTCGAGGCTGCGGTGGCCGGGAGCGGCCACTGCACTCCAGTCTAGGCAACAGAGTGAGACTCCAACCCAAAAAAAAAAAATTATTTATTTATTTATTTTTGAGTTGGAGGTCTTACTCTATCGCCCAGGCTGGGGTGCAGTGCACCATTACGGCTCACCAAAGCCTCAACCTCCTGGGCCCAGATCCTTCTGCCTCAGCCTCCTGAGTAGCTGGAACTACAGGTACGCACCTCCCTACCAGGCTAATTTTTTGATTTTTGTAGAGTCAAGGCCTCACTGTATTGCCTAAGCTAGTCTTGAACCCATGGGCTCAAATGATCTTCTTGCCTCAGCCTCCCAAAATGTGAGCCATCCCTCCCGGCCTTATTTTTTTATTTTATAGAGATAAGCTCTGGCTATGTCGTCCAGGCTGGTCTTGAACACCCGGCCTCAACCTCTCCCATCTTAAAAACAGTAACAAGGCTAGGCAAGGGGGCTCACGCCTGTAATTCCGGAACTTTGGGAGGCCAAGGCAGGAAGCTTGCTTGAGCCCAGCAGTCTGAAACCTCATCTCTACAAAAAAAAAAAATCAGAAAATTAGCCAGACTTGGTGGTGCGTGCCTGTAGTCCCAGCTACTCGGGAGGCTGAGGCAGAAGGATCTCCTGAGTCTGGGAGGTCGAGGCTGCTGATGAGCTATGATTGCACCATTGCATTTCAGCCATGGTGACACAATGAGACCTCAATTCAGTCAGCCAATCAACGGAACAGGAACAAAAGCCTTGACCTCACATTCCCCACCAGGCACCGGAACATTCCAGAAGAGTGGGCCCACAGCGCCTACTTAGTCACTACTCTTCCTCTCGCACCCACGCCCTTCTGCCCTCCTGGCCCCCCTGAACGGCTTGTGTGAAGCCAGCAAGGATGTCCTTGTTGCCAGAGCCACTGGCAAGTTCTTGGTCCTATCACTCTGCTTTCCAGCAGCATCAGACAGGTAAGCACCCCCTCCTTCAAAAACGAGCAGCATAAGCCGGGCTCGGTGGCTCAGCCTATAATCCCGCGCCTTTGGGAGGCTGAGGTGAGTGGATTGCCTGAGCCCGCAGGTTTGAGACCCGCCTGGGCGGCGAGACCTCATCTCTACAATAAAATCAAAAAGTTAGCCAGGCGTGGTGATGCGTGCCTGTAATTCCGGCTACTCGGAAGGATCGCC